GACAAATTAACATGTTATTTTAATCAGTACAAAAAAGCCAACAATGTCAACTCCCCATTTTTTACCTATTTACACATAGAGCAGACATGGAACAACAATGGCATGTCTTTGGACTATTGCGTGAAAAAACCCAATATTCACTTTTCCTTGAGCTCAGTTTTTGGTCTCCACCAGCTCCACCGTAACTATGAAATACCCCTCCAACATACAGGTGGTCACACGATCAATTGTTAATCTGAAAATATTGATCACAGCAGTTTTTATTTTCAACGTCATCTTCTTTTTGTCAATCATCTGGAGGTTTAGTCGCAGTGAACGTTTGATTAAATCAGTTTTGTATCGTCAATGTTTCGTCTTTCTCATGGTAAAAACTTAGTTTACGAATGTTTTTCTTCCAACACTTTGCTAAAGAAATGAACACACTGCACTACTGTATTTTAGCAACACCAGGAGGTTTCTGTCACCTGGACAAGCTGCCTGTTTAGCAGAGGAGGAAGCTTTGGGCTGCTCCACACCAGCCCCCTATGGCCTGCATTCAGTCACCCAGTCCATCACGCGGTCAATCTGCATAACTGCATCTTTCATGAGGCTTGGTCAATGCCCAATCCATACTGCACAGCCCCCCTGTGTATGTGTGTGTATGTGTGAAACCCTGCATGTTATTTTCTGTTCCTGCGCTAGAAACTATGTCTTGCATTAATATGTTTGTGTCTATCCATGTTCTATATACAGCATGTTGTGCTCTTACCTGTTTGGAACACAATCGTCTAATCTGTCACAGACTAATCCTCCAGGTCAGTAGCTGAATGGTCCCTTTTTGCGCCCTGCAACGAATTAACACCGTCACCCGTATCTCTTCATCACCTTCATGGTTCCAACTAGTGGCACCTTGTTTAAGCCCGGTCAATATGAGCAAAGAGGGATGTGGGTGCCGGTAGTTGGTAGCCGATGCCTGCAGTTCTTATCAGGTAAAGTGGTTTTTGATTAGTGTTAATGGCTGGGACTAAATAGCCCTCAGCATTTCCACTGGCTACCTTTGTTATGTGTGTGTGTGTGTGTGTGTGTGTGTGTGTGTGTGTGTGTGTGTGTGTGTGTGTGTGTGTTTGTGTGCTGCTGTGCTCAAGGGCATGCTAGCAATTCATCAAGTTGAAAAAGCTATATCCGGTGTGCAGTGATGAACAGGTTTTGTGTCTAAACGTGTTCCCTAAACCGTAACCTTTACACCGTCTGGTTGCTTTTAGCTATTTTGAGAATGCTGCTGGATGACGGCTGTGCTGCAAAGTGTCTCCCTGCAGCCACGGCACAGGAGTTTCAGTGTGTCACCACCACTACAATATACAGACAGTAAGAATGAGGCTTTTCTTGTTGTGCATACTCTCACCATCATCCACTCGTGGCCCAGAACGACAGGCTGCAGCACCCGCTCTCCAAAATGCTCGGCATCTGGTGCAACAGACAGCCTTGCATGTTAATGCCGAGTTAATATTATTCTTATGAACTGCGAGTGACTTTGCATGTTAGTGAGCGCTCTGTCAAATTAATGTCAGTTCCATTAATGCTGCCGTCTATTTCGTGTCACAAGTACGCTCACGCCAGACTCCCGCTTGCTCTGAGGTACTGGGGCTAGACATACAAACACACACACACACACACACATGAAGGAACAGGAACACACACACACACACACACCCACGCACGCACACTAAACCTCATGCAAAGATTCACACCCAGGCATCTCAACAGTAGATACATATTCACACACTTGCAGTCACTCACACACACATCTTTGCTCCACATGAGCGAGAGACGAGGGGAGGAAAATGAATGTCCTAACTCATTTATCACATAGCCCCAAAAGTACAGATGAATCCAGTGATGAAAATCTGTCCTGAGAAATGTCAGGAAGATATTAACTCCAATACATCAAAGTGAAGCTGCAGTCTCTAAGCTGACTGCCAGCCGATGCTCCCAGCCTTCGGTTAAACGGGGGGAGCACACCAGCGTTGATGTAATTTTAGCCAACTCTGACCATTTGTCACACACAAACGAGTAAATAAAGACACAAGTCACTTCCGCGCAGAGATTAACATCCGAAATGATGCAGAGCGAATTTCATTAGTGCGCAAATGCCATTCTTTAGATCTGTCTGATCTCAATGGAGTGTGAGAGAGTGAAGGGAAAGAAAAGATGAGGGAAATTGCCTTTTCATGTGGATTTCACTAATCGCTTCCCTAACAAAATACAGCAGACTCGTACTAATAAGTAAGTTAAGGCTCAGTGGACAGATAGAGTGAAACAGCACAGAGGCTAATGGAATTGAGATCTTTCCATGCCTCCATGGGTGTCTTAATTGTCAAAAGGAGATTCTCAGATGAGTATTTCAGCAGCCGCCTGCTGGATTGTCGGGAGCCTAAATTGGAGTGCGACTCACTGGACTTGTTTTAAGCCAGGGCTTCTCTGGTGTGTGTGAGGTGGATCAAATCCCTGCTCTACACTGTCTGGAAACAGGTCCTGTGATTCACTCTTGTTTATTCACCAACCAGCAGCAGCAAAGTACATGTTTTCAATGCAGCCAATGGGGACTGCAGCAGCCTCGTATCTAAAATCTATAACTTGTGCCGTTCTGTGCTTTTTCATCTTGCAGCCTCTCCTGGAATGTATTATGTGCTCATTTATTTTTGCATGGATTTATTTATTCATAAATATTCATTCTGAATGTCATATATGTGATTCATTTGAAAACAAAAAATTGCTTTCTCAATCTCAGCCAGCTTGGATTTATTGGCTCTCATTGCTATTGTTATCACAGTGCCTTTGTAATGATCTATTTTAGCATCGCTGCTCTTCACTAGTTATTGCAGCACTAGAAATTCCAACCACTGTGGTTCATTAGAAGTGAAATTGGACTGTGTGGGACTCCAGGAGAGAGAGAGAGAGAGAGAGAGAGAGAGAGCGACTGCTTTTAATCTAAAAAGGTCAATGTGCGCGAGCTATTTTGGAGATTCACTGCGAGCTTAGAGCTGCAGCTTTGTCTGAAGACAATGTAAAATTAAATGAAGACAAAGTTAGCGAGCGTGTGGTTGGCCTCTGATGAGACTCTGGGAGTGAGGACCCTTCATTTGCAACCTTTAATCAGTCCAATGAGATCAGATAAACGTGTGATTCTAGAAGAAAAGAAAGTAAGGGGGGAGAAATGAAATGGTAATTAGTATTGATTACCTATGTGCATATGACCCTGCAGTCTGCCCTTGCATTCCTAAATCAACCCAAATTATTGGATTTACTAATTTCATGCTCAGAGCAGAAGTAGCCAGCAACATGAAAATGCCTCCACGATGAACCATGTGCTCATTGGGGTCCGAGGAAATTATAGCGACGGGAAACAAGGCGTGTTTTTGTGCAGAGGTGTGGGTTTGAGGCTGAATGATCCACAGTGGTTTAAGTTAAGGATGATAATTATTCTAGGAGGGTCTGTGGGGAGTTAAGGTGATTCAGGTAGCTTTTCCTTCAAATTACATTTCACGTCAATGCACTGTCGCTAGGCGATGTCCTCAGCCCGACTATATATGCATGCAATTACTTGCAGTTAGGAAAGAAAAGAGGTCCATTTAGGCGGGAAAAAGCAGCCCAATTACATGTATACACAATTAATACGCCCATGGGAAATTGAAATTTTCCTTGAAATGATAAGATTAATTCCTAATTATGGCTGCATGCACATTCACAGTCACACAAGGCCTCACACAGTTAATCTACTTTACTAATAAGCCACAATACACTGAAATTGTGAAGAGCAGAAGTGGACAGCAAGTGATGGAGGGAATCCGTGTCATAGTGGACCCGATGAACCCGGACACCTGGAGTGTGACAGTGCTCTGGCGCCATCTGCTGGCTCTGGTGTAGAATATGAAAACACCACCAGGAGTGCAGAGTCAATGAATGTTTTTGTTGGATCTTGTTTTCAATAACTGGTTAACTCTGATCTATGGCAGAGGAGTTTTGGGGTCTTTTCTCCATGAAAGACGCATCTGTACTTCCTCATCCCAGACATTTTAGGATTTAGCGAGGAGAATATCCATAATGGAATTGATCTTCATTTAGTATTTCAGATCCAGCTGATTTTCTGCAGCTCCACAAACTCAGCACTTTCCCTTATTCTTTTAAGATCTTCATACTAATTTAAAAAAAAAAAAAAAAAATACAGATTTATGGAAGTTAGAATTTTTTCATTTGCTGCCTTAATGTGATTCTCAGTTGTGTTTATAGTGTTACAAAACTGAATGCCAATACAGTTAACCACCACCAAGAAGCATCTTTCCTAGAACCTTCTAACAAGGACACATTAAGACCCAATGATCCAATGGGCAAAGACATGTAGGAAAGAGACACCCAGACTGAAAGAGACACAAAATAACGACAAATGACAGTTTCTTTGTGGTCGTTTTGCATCTCTTTGATGTAGTTTTGTCTTTTTTCAGTTGGTTTGTGTCTTTTTGAAGTCATTTGATCAACTTTCCAACAGTAAATTATCACAGTCACTATAAAGAGAGGCTCTGGCACAGTGGCCCCCAGACACTTTGGGCCCCCCCTCCCCCTTGGGTGACTAACCCATGTGGTGGGTCAGTCATTACAAACCTTTTCAGCTTATCCAATACCAGAGGGGTATTTTAAAATTTTACTTCAGATCCCAAACTTTTCACACACATACCAAATATTTCAGAGTGAAGTATTCTGAAATGATGCACCAGACATCTAAAATATCTCCATTAGATGAAATGAGATGATGGAGCCATAAAAAATAAATACATTTAAAAAAAAGGGTCTTGGGTTTGAATGTTCGTCTAATGTCATACAGCTTCAATAAAAAGCTGGAACAATAACGCAATAAAGAATAACTATGATACTGTCAGACAGCCTAGAATAAGATGATTCTGACAACTTTAAAGCTCCTAAATGGGATGTTCAGGCATCAAATAAATAAATAAATCCATGGACACTGATCAGCAGGGTACACTTCTCAAGTCTGATTTTATTCTGTGGGAAACATTAGTCTCTTACACATCTAACTTGGTGGTGCAATATGACAGACAGCTACTCAGTGCAGCAGTGCCTACAGTTAATATAACCATGTTTACAAGCAAAATAATAAACAATGTTAAAAAGATAAATATTAGTTTCAGTGTAAAGCACAGCACGCAGTTCTCGACTTGTAGCAGTAGAACTGTATTGCATCAGTCTTACATAAATATGCTGAACCTCACACTGGTTCTAGGCAGATACACACACTGGTTTTTACAGCGGATACAGTGTCTATTCTGTCCTCGTACAGCTCTGGGCTCAGAGCCGGCCTAAGCAACTGGAGACAGAGAAAGTGCAATTTAAAATCGACGGTGACACCAAACATCCAGGGCAACAAGGACACACAGATGCATGGCAGGACACGTGTATGTGTGTGTGTTTGTGTATGCGCAGGACTATGTGTGTGTCTGGTATTAAGAGCGCTGCGGAGGCTAGGTTACAGTTCATGAGTTTGTCAAGACAAAACAGAGAGGAGTGACAATGGGGGAGATGACACAGACAGGAAATGAACACTGTTTGTGGCCAAACAGAGACGGCTGTTGACGTTGGAGCTCTTTTACAACACACAAACTGACGCCTCACAGACCTTCAGTCTTACACACAGACTGGACTTTGCAGGCCACCGTACAGTGCGGGCCTTCACATGGCTACTGAAGCGTCTGACTCTCTAGGCCGGTTGCGTACAACGTGCTCCAGCTGTCCGGAGTCTGAGACGTCATAGCTCGTCTTGTACTTAGCCAGGATCTTCATGAGGGGACGCAGCTTCAGCCACCACTGCTCCTTGGGGATCCTGTGACTGCAGACAGACGGGGAAACCTCAGCACCGTGGTTACGGCTTCTTTGGGTCCTAATTCTAATGTTCATGTCTGATGGTGCAAATCTAATGTTTTCTACTCACTGGGGAGCAGAAGAGTCCACATTTGGACCATGTGATTATGTGACACAAGACTGACTTTGAATGATAGGAATGACTTATTTTCATCACTTAATCTGCTGATTATTTTCTTAATTGATTTGATCTATAAAATGTCAGAAAATAGTGAAAACACACAATTGACAGGCAAACACAGAGTGTTTGGTATTATTGCTTAAAGAAAAGATTAAGAGGATCAGTTGATTAAGGTAGTTGCTGATTATTATTTGTTGATTGACATTTGTTAATTATTAGACAAATTAAGCTCAAAACATAAAAATAATAATATGCATCATTAATTTTCAAATTGTCCTGGTTTTGACACTTAAGTTGAGTGAGCCGACATTAATGTTGAGAAAAACCTACTGTACAACTACCAAAAAATCTTAATTATACATTTTGTTAACTTGATACCTCACTACCTGGCTTCTCCTTCACAGCATCATATAACAACACAATTTAGACAAAAATATGATGGTTTCGGCTGATCAAATCTATGATCACCATTTTAAGTTATAACCTAAGTGTCCCTTTGTTAAATGTGTTATCTCTTGGTATACCGAATATATATAATCAAATTCTTTTTTCTCTTCGTGTTAAAAAAGAAAAATATTTTTGATAACTCATCTTGAACTAGAGACTTGTGAATACATGTATGCAATGAAATAGGATCACTAACCCTGCACTCCACAGTTAGCTTGTGTTTATTACCTGTTAGCTAATGTTTCACCTAAGAGATTTTTTACATTATGGAAGCTAACAACACTCTAAAAGTGACTCTAAGCGCAGTGAGTGTGATACATACACAAAGTCAGTATCCTCCTTGAGTTGTACAACGGGCTGGAAGACCAGAGCCCGGCGACGCATCCCCAGCAGACAGCAGGTGTCCTCGGTGTTGGCAAACACTCGGCCTGCGGCGAAACACAGCAGTGCTCAGAGGTGGAACCAGAGGAAAGTACTTTAGCTATTCCCTTTGCAAACATATAGTAACATCTTACAGTGTGTGTGAGGGGTTGTATACAGTGATGATGACGACTCTCTCTTTTAGCTAGTAGCTATCTTAAAGATTGAAAATATCACTTTTTTTGTATGGATCTACAGGACTACAACTGGTGGTGCAACTGATACAAACAGAAAATCTAGAAACTAAATACAAAGCTGTGATGATATAAACCAAACAGCCACAACATTAAAACCAGTTACCGGTGTTAATGTTGTGGCTGATCGGCATTGAAGCTGTCACTACTCAAAAGCAACTAAAGCAACACAAAGTGCCGGAGACACAAAGAAATGTGGGGCAAAGCAGAACAAAAGAAATGTGCGCTTTATTCATACAGCCGATGCTATTCCACGTGACTCGTGAACTGGACATAGTGTAGCATGGTGGCTGCTGATAAATTTGACAAGGCATAGACACATCGTAGCTGCACCCCACATGTGCCTGGACAGGCTGTATGCTTCTTCAAGATATGGCAGGAGGGTGGAAATGACAGACAGGGACATGGAGCTAAATATAAACATGTAGATGGTCATGGAGCCAGCATGAAAAAAAGATTTACCTTCATCTTATGTCATCCATGTGTATGGGAAATAGACATAAAAAACAAAGAGGAGTTTTAACTTTAATTATAGTCTTGATACAAATACACATAGTGTGCTCTTAAGACAAACTTTTGATCAGAGGTATTACACGTTACTAGTTAGTGTTATCCATCAAAAAAACAAAGAACATTAAAGTATTTCTCGTTAAATTGTTACATTGATGGGTGTGAATGATCAATAATTAATCTCCTTTACGAGGACAAAAATACATCAAAATATCAGACAGTGACTCCATGACAGATCTGGGTAAAGGTCTGCTTCACAACAGCCACGCCTCTGTAGGAAGGGAGGATCAGCTACTACAAATCATTTCACACAAGTGCAACATGGACCTCACCTTGTCTGAACGTCTCCACCAGCTTTTTGGAAATCCACTGCATCGCCTTGGCAGAGATCTTAGTCCCAAAGTTACGGTCGAACGGAGACGGCGCTCCTCCCTTTCAAAGGAATCAAGAGGCATCACTCTTGTTGCTTTATTTGAGACCACACACTACAACACTTACATGCTATGTGTGTCTTGGGCTGGCCACAATAAAAGGCTATTTTTAAAGAGTTTTATTTTGAAAAAAGACATGTATTAGACACTGAACTATGGATTTGTCATGAATTGGGCTACAGATGTGCATTTAGAACCCTAACCCTAGAAATGAATAGTTCAGTGCCTAATAAATGTGTTTTTTCAAAATAAAACTCCACATTATAAAGTGGCCTTTTATGTGGCCAGCCCAAGACACACCTGTGCAATTATCATGCTGTGTAATCAGCATCTTGATATGCCACACCTGTCATGTGGGTGGATTATCTTGACATAGGAGAAGTGCTCAGTAACATGGACTTCAACACATTTGTGAACAAAGAAATTGTGTGTGTGTGCGTGCATGTGTGTAAAAGAGGTCTTACATCTTTTATTTTAACTAATGAAAAATTGAAGCAAAAACAAAAGTGCTGCGTTTATATTTTTGTTCACTGTATTTAACTAAGAGTTTCCACCCATTTTGCTGTCTCGCATGTTCGTCGGTATTCATTGTTTTACCTTATAGTAACTTGTGTGTATTTTCTACTGACTAGCATTTTCTATTCACAGAAGAAAAACAAGAAAAGATGATCAAAATGAATATACAAAAAAACCCCCGCCAAATTCAAATCAGATGCACCAAGACACCAACCAATGTTTTTTGGGGTTTTTTTGTCATATTCAAAGGTACATATTTGTTGAAGTGTTTTGTTGTGCTATGTTTAATATCTTATCTTAATATCCCCAAATCTATATTTTTTTTTCCTGTATCCCATTACTTGCTGCAGACACAACCCAGTTTCTCCTCAGGGATCATCAAAGTTTTGTTTCATCTTGTTTTATCTGTGATAATCTCTAGACGCTCAAAGCCAAAAGACAACAAAGCGCATACAGGAAGAATGAGACTAAGTAATTATGGAAATGCCATTCTAGATACAAATATGGAAAACTATTCATTAAATCGTCCTCAGTCTGGAGGAATTGTTACCACTGACTCTGCTCTGTGGTGAGGCCTACCTGCTGCATGTGTCCCAGCACATTCTTCCTGCAGTCAAACACTCCCCTCCCTTCTTCAGAGTACAGCTGGTAGATGAAGTCTGTGGTGTAGTTGTCATTACAGTTCTCATTCCTACGAGCATACAACGAAACAGAACAGTCTCAGTCTACATTCACCCATCCAGCAGCATCCAACAGCATCCAACAGCATGCTGGAGGTACTGTTGATATTATTCTCACATCAAATTGTCATCTGTTGATCTGATTACATCAGGATTGGATCTGTTTACTACACAAGCTGCTTAAAATCACACTGTGTGCGCTAGAAACACTGGATTAAAAAACTGCAGCAGCAGCACATCAGCTGTCTGTCTGGTCTGTACTGAAACAGCTTCACATCTGACTGAGCTGTAGGCTTTTTGCACATCATATTATCACTTAGAGATGAGGTTGTTAAATTTACTACAACCATCTGCACTGGGGTGGTTTAATTTGTCATTTTCTTACCTGAGGACCAGTCCTCTTTGAATGCTCGTCTTCATTTTCTCTGTCAGATGTTCAACATTGGCCTGTGGGAAGAGACAGTACAAGTGAATTATGCTGACCACTAGATGGCACCGTGAGGGCTGTCTCAGAATCCAGCCTGAATGCCCTCTGGTGGATGAAGCGAGAAACGGCCTGTTAGGGACTGAGCCTGAAACGTTAAAGGAGAGCTGAAAAGGAAAATCAAGTGATGCATGAATTCATATGGCTTCAGTGTAGGAGCTCATGTGTGTATGTTATAATAGTCAGTGTGTCACCTGCAGATCTCTGATGTCAAATGGCTCCTCATAGATGTAAGCAGCATCCGCTCCAGCAGCCAGGCCTCCTACACTGGCCAGGTAGCCGCAGTATCCTCCCATGGTCTCAATGATGAACACGCGTCTCTTGGTCCCACTGGCTGACTGCTTGATGCGGTCACAAGTCTGACACATGCATATAAGCTCACAATGTTAGTATATGTTAAGTAATTATTGTAAGCTAAGCTTTGTTAAACTGAGTGTAAATGTTGTGAGATACCTCCAGTTAAATGTCTCTCAAGTTTATCATAATGAAGTGTCAAAAAATTCAAATCAAGCAAGATTAGAGGTCATATTCTGTTAAAGTAACACATTCCACATATAAAAACAACAGCATGACACTCAATTCAAGGCCAACATGCTCATTGATCAACTCGCTACATTTAAACATTTCGGGCAGATTCAGGCTAAAAAATGCTGCATTCATCAGTTAGAGACTGGAGTCCTGCATAAGGATGAGAGAGCACATCAGATGGTAAACTTCACATATCATTTACACTTAGCAGCATATAACAAGAAAACTATATTTTCTACATGATTACAACGGTAAAATTTTATTTTGAAAGTCCAATGCTGATAATCAATTCAATGTCAGGTGACTGGGATGGCAGTAAAATGTCCAGTTTTAAATACTACAACAGTGTTAAAGGGGCACTCCAGCTATTTATAGCGATATGACTGACTTTTAGTCCTTTGGCATTAGACAAGATCCAAAAACAATGGGTCCTACATTTCCCAAAATGCATCTTGATAGAATCTTTTCTTAGACCCTGCTTGGTTTTGTAAGAATCCACATCTCTAAAACCCCACACCTCCAGTTTGTTGCAGAGTTTTCCTCACAGACTGAGTAGTACTTGTCATGACAAGTCAACTCAGCTTCGTGTGTAAAATCTATGGAGTGCCACTTTAAAACTTTACACATAATTCAGTATTTGTGTTATTCCAAGGCTTGAGGTTAATGTTAGAACTGGGGTCGGGGTACGCTTTGGGACTGAAGTAAGGTTAAGGTCGTGCTGAAATCTATGGTGCTGCATCAAATACTGCGACACTTTACTGCACATCTGCTTTTATAACCTGACAGTGTGTTGATTTATAAGCACTGCAACTTCACTCCATCATGTGTCATTTTCATCCTCTTTGCATGAGCATCTTGAACAAAGGGCTCAAAGCTGTGCCGGCGGCGGTTTGACTGTCTTACCTCCACGATGGCATTGAGGGCTGTGTCTGCCCCGATACTTAGATCTGTGCCCGGTACATTGTTACTTATGGTTCCAGGCAGCATACACATCGGGATGCAAAACTCCTCATAGGTAGCGCGAGCCTCATACAGCTGCAGCAGACTCTCAAACGCCTGAAGCAGCAGTATATGAAAACGCGTTAGAGCCACTCAGAAGGCCAGCAACTGAGAGAGAGAGAGGGGTGAATCTCTCTCAGTATGCTAGAGCGTATCCTGCCATTCCGGCTCTTTCCGTGTGATAGCAGCTATGGCTTCCCTTTGGCAGAAAGGATAGGTCGACAGAAGTGTGAATACAGAGATGGAGAAGAAAGTGAAAAATGGGAAGGAAGACAGATACAGCAAAGAGTGGTGGAGGAGAAACAAAACAAAAAAAAAAAAAGGTGGGGGAAAACAAAAAGGTACAAGGAAAGTAACGGGACAGATACTGTAGAACAGAGGGAGGAAAGACAGGAAAAGACAGAGACGGAAGGAGATGAGACAGATGTGAAAGGCTGTTTGTGAGTCTCAGCAGCTCAATGCAGTGACGCTTAATAGGGCAACATGACGGCCATATCTGCTGTGGAAGGCTATATGCAGGCAGGACAAGCACTGATCGACTCTGCATACACAGGAGGAGGACGAAGAAATGAGGAAGATGATGGCCAAGCAAAGATTCAAGCTCACAGATGATTCTCTGTTTATATTTATGCTAATGTTGCTTAGTTTTACATAGAGTCAAATTTTTGTTAATTTGAATGATCGTAATGTTTTAAAGAACACAGCGAGAGCAATGACGCTGTATTATTTTCTTATTCTTGACACAGTGTTTGTGATGGTAATGATTATTATTATTATTATTAATTAAAGAAGTTACACACAGTATACGAGCTAGTGCGTATTAACAGTACTGAAGGCTGTTAGTTTACGTTACATAGCTGTACAGTACATGTATGATAACTAAGTGACGACAACCCTGCATGCTGTTAACCACTCATCTTGGTGTTAATGATGAAGGGGGACACAAACACACAGTCAGGGAGAAGGGCAGGCAGAGCAAACATGGCAGCCACGACACTTGAGCACCTCACAGCATGCCTCCATGTTGTCACTCACTTACTTACCTGATCGGGAAGGGAGGGACGCTACTCTGCAACGTGGCTTTACCTTTACCAGTCACGCCTCACAGTACAGACATGACTTCGATTGTCTGTCTGTTCTGTTTTTCTATTTTTTTTTGGGGGGGGGGGGGGGAAACTTTTTTCCAGATGTGGCTGACAGATGCCACGTTCACAAGAATTTCTTCCAAATGATCCACTGACAGGCTGGTAAATACAGAGTGAGCGAGTTCTCCCTTCTTGAAACCTGATTGGTTGGCTGGCTGGCTGTGTGAGCATGTTTGTGGAGTTCTGGTATTGTCTGCTTGCGTGCATGTGCGTGTGTTTTATATGTGTCTGTGTGCTACTCTTGTTGCCAGCCCCATCACTTACAGTAGTGATGGCGTTCAGAGCCGTGTCAGCGCCAATGCTGAGGTCTGAGCCCGGCACATTGTTGGAGACAGTGGCTGGGACCATGACCATGGGCACACAGAACTCGTCATATTTCCCGCGCGCCGTTAACAATTCCAGCAGTGACAGCAAGGCCTGCAGGGCAGAGCCAAGGGCTTTAGTGTCTGCAGGGGTGGAACTCCTTGGTTTTGGTTCAGAGGTGCTACTTGCCACAAGGAATGGAAAGACAAAAAGTGGACAGGTGCCAAGGGGAGGAGCCAGGTCTATCACAACGGACAGCAGCGAAACAGACAGGTACCACTCCATACACACTCTCAAAGACACACACATCTGTACATACACATGAAACTCATTTACTTGCATACGTCACAGGAAAATTAAAGCTGGTGGGAATCTAAATGGGAGTGCGTGAAATGGCTGGAAAAAAAGCAGGAGTTCTCTGTTTCCAAATAAAATCAAATAATTATATTATTTATATTTCACTTACAGTGTTGGTTCACTTTAAATAATACATATTCCTTGAGTTAAGGATCCTACCTTCTCTCTACACATCTATATTTAAAGCAGTGAAAATCAACAGTGAACCAACGGTATGTTGCAGTTACTCTTATCAGCTCTACAGCTTCAGTTTTGGCAGAGAAACAAGTTTGAAGCATGATTATGTACATGGCTCTTCATGGAACCATATGGTGGTGTGCTGACATAAAATGGGATAAGACTGATGGAAAGGATCAACATTACACTGTTAACTATAACATACATAGTGTATATGTACATCTAACATTATAATTAGCAAAACTTCAACAGTTACTTTGGGATTTTTTTTTTAACTGTATGAGCAAAACTATAACTTTCATCTTACTCAATACTTTATAGAACTTTTTTACTACTGACATGAATTCAAAACTCAAGAGCTAATAAGCTTATGGACAGAAAATAAGACAATGTAGCTTTATTAGTAAAATAAGACAAGCTATATAGACAAAGGAGTTTTAAACATACCTCAAATCCACCAATAACTAGCAGAGCATTTATGTTGTGCTTTCGCATCTGGTCAGCAATTTTGTCAACATGCTTTGCAGGAAGAGTTCTGATGGCAGGAAACAGAAAGGGAGGAAAAAAATATTATTTGTCACCAAACATTGTGCATGTAATCATTTGATTTGAATGACCAGATTAAAACTCACTAACTTTTTGACTTTCTGTGTACAGTATAGCACCACATGTTAAATATATATATATATTTACTAATCATTATAATTATTATTATTATTATTATTATTAATTGTATTTACTGTTAACAGCTTTAATGCTGAACAGTCAATGAGAGATAACAGCTCAAGACTTTACCTTTTGGTTCCCAGTAGAGATCCACCCTGTCCCGTCCATCCTCCGACATCAGCCCATTTAATCTCCTTAATCTGTGGGGACAACAGCAACATGCAATTTTACATGTCTTATTGGAGCACTCCCATAACATTTGAAATACTTCCTACCGCATTTTCTGACTTTTTCTCCCATGATCCATGTCTGGTTGTTGCTGAAATCTTAAGTTAAAAGGAGCTTTATGTAAGTTTTTGCTATTACTACCTATCTTACATTAGCATTAACAGCTGTTTACTGACCAGTCTAGAAGAAATGTTGTGAGTTCAGCATCAAAGTTTATCCATATACTCACCAAGAGCTGTCTCCGGCGGTAGAAAGCAACGCCAATGTCAACTCTAGTTTTACTTCTATTTCTATCACTTTCTTCTACTGAAGTTAGCATGCTAACCAGGAAGCTGCAGTCTGTTTGGCCCGTCTCATCTCTTTCTGTTAGTGAGTCACTGTAGCGTTCAGCATGCCCTGAAGAAGTAGCTGCTCAGAGGACGTATTATAACTTCTTGTCTTGTAAATGCAACAATGACTGAAGCTCTTTGACAAGACTGGTAAGTAAACAGCTGTTAATGTGAATGTTGGCTATGTAGCAAAACTTACAAATAGCTCCTATTAAAATAAAAGACAATCTATTAGCATTCAAATGACTGAATCCTACACCTAAGCCTGTTTCTATGTTGCTGTTGGTCCATTTATCACAAAGTTTAATACACAAACTGCTACAGTCCTGCATTTTCTGACATGTCCTCCTGGGGTCTCAGTGCAGAGACTGTTAGGAGGCAAGTTAATATACTGGACACACTGTCTTATATATATAAATATATAAAATAGAAGAACTGGACCAGTGAAAACATTGCGGTGTGCAGCACAGAGTCCCAAAGCACTTAAGTATAGAAATTCATTACTCCCACTGGTCTAATCTTCTTAGGGTCAGTTGGTGCTGTCTGATTTAAGCTGGCAGGGACACACACAGGAGACTGACTAGTGATATGGGAGACATTTTGATGAAGATAAATAGTCAGATCTTTTTTTGAATGCTGTTCTTTGAATGAGCTAAATCTGGACTGAGGGGATTTAAAGTTTCTCACTGGGAGAAAGTCACAAGAGGATAAGAGGGAGGACTCTAAAACCAGTTTTTCCAGTCACAGAGCAGGAAAATAGGCAATGTCTCAGATGACAAGCCACAGAACAGGTTCTGTCCACAAGCACACCTGTTACTGTGTGCTTTTACCTTTCATTCAAAACTCAAGACTCCCTCCATATTTCAGTGTTAGTTAAGGTGAGAGTCATTCCATTTAATCATTCCAAAAGTGTAAACATTTTTCATCCTACTCTGCTGCCCTCTGTCTGATTATTGTGCTACTGCATCAGCTTTGGCAGAGCAGGGCAGAGGAGGGAGAGTCAGTGTGGGAAATTGGCTTACATCAGTCTGAACAGATTATCCCCTGGGTTTTCCCTGATTCTTGAGTCAGGGAGCTAACAGTGATTGTGCACTGCCCGACTCTCATCAAGCTAAGCCAATTCTCTTTCAGTTATTGATTCAAACATGGGAGTAATACACATCACATTTTTGCTAAGCTGTTATGGCACATTTTTTGATTAATATATCATGAAATCAATGACTTCCAGAGAAAATTCAAATGGCATGCAATACAAGAGTACATGTACCAGTATATCAGTGCTGGAGTACCCACCTGTCCTTTGTAGAATCCCTCAAACCCATCACTGACAGCAAACATCTTGTGTCCCTCAGAGATGCCCACCCTGACAGCTGAACGTACGGCAGCATTCATACCTGCTGCAGGAGCACCGACATTCAGCACCGCCACGTTGAAGTTGCTCTGAGGGCACAGAACACATTAAATGTGACATAAATAGTTCTATCATCATAATAAATAGGGTATGTTTCAGTTGATGCTGCTGTTGGACAGTTGTTGAAGCTCAGCAGAGTGGATCAATAAATGGCTCCTGGTCTGTACTCAGCTACATGCTGGGTCTACAGTGGTCATTATCACAGATGCAGGGGGAGCCAAACCCTGAGGCGAGGTCCACAGCATGGAGTCTGACATGCTGCCTCTACACCTCACTGATCTTCAGTGTGTGCTGCCTCTTTTGGAGCCGCAGCAGCAGGCTGCAGCAGCTCCTGGCAGGGTTGAACAAGTCATCCCTCAGCAGGGAGCCAGATGTCATCTGATATCAGTGAACAGCAGACCAACACTGAGCAACCTGGGGCTCATATGAACACATCAGTAACTACAATTTTAGGCTTCAGAGCAAATACGCCGTGGGTAACACAGCAAAGCAGTGTTTATTTTGAACTGGTCACCATAATTACAAGTCATCTTATTTTTCCACTGAACAGCAGTAAACAACTGACACTATATCTGAAGGATGCCAGCATAACTAGCACGCTGTAATGCATCCGTTCACAGAAACATATTCATGTACTTACAGGAATACATTACTCGGTAAGTGAGCCTTGTTTTGTCAAGGATTTCTCTGAAAATAGCAACAGCACAGTGCATCACGACTGCAGTGGCTGAGTCATTATTCGTAGGCAGATCCTTAGGACTGTGTAATAAAATATTAAACACCTCAGTGTCTCTGGGAGGCTAATTCGACTCTAAAAACAACCTCCACTCCGGGCATGGTGGGGACTGCTACTACATGTGTGGAAAAACAACTCCCACTGTCTCTGTGTGTCTACTTCTGCTGAGTGTTAAGACTTGACAAAGCTAAAAACACTGCCACTGCCAACAGTCCCAAAGTAAATGTCATGATGTCATGACTCGACTTACAGTTGGAAGTTCAGATTCTGGTTTACGATGAGCCAGCAGTTTGTATGTCTTCAGGTTGTTTTCAAAACTTCTGCAATAAAACACAGGACACTCAGTATGTTCACACAAGTACATGTTCAGTGTCAAGACAAACGAAAACACACATTATAGATGCATTAAAATTGAATGATGCATTTTGAATTATCTGCATTGTAATGATTATATGCAGCTGTTGACCGTATCCACAGTAAAAACATCAGTCTAGTGTTGAGCTCTAAAACAGCACCTGTCTACAGCTTAATGTCAACAGTAAGCAACATCAAACTGTCTTGATGTTGAGTGAAGTGATGGCCTCGGTATATTGGATTGGTCCCAACAGGCCGTCAGTCATACCTGCCCCGAAGCTTCACAGCCTCCTCAAACCGTTTCTCGTCCATGGCCTTCTGGACCTCCTGGGTCTGAGAGAAACAGGAGAGTGTTTTCACTGTTTGAATTCAGTAATCATTTCTACACTGTATTTCCTGTATGTACAAAAGTAATGCCATGATGTGTTATTTATATCAGTTCAAATTAAATACCTGCAGGCAAAGCCTCTGATCAATGAAGTGCCTATTATAAACAAAACAGTCATCCTCTGACTAACTGCCTCTCAACTAACTATTATGTAACCTTGTTTTGACCTGTAATAAAACTGCCTGCCACTTCAAAACACCTGAAAACATCAGAAAACTTCAGTGAGATTTTCCCTTTCCTCTTCTGTCTGTCAAAATCCAATCTTGTCAAGCGAGAACAACAACAAAGCTCCTTTGTGCGTTTCTCTGCAGATGGGTTGCTACTATTACATCATCATCACGCTGGCAGTCATTGCCAACCCTGCCAAATGCTTTGGATAATCATTAACCAGACACAACTGCCTCTCAAACAATACAGCTCTCTTGTGAACATTAGTGGCACTCCAGGCCCAATGGGCTGTGCTGTTTGTCATCATTACTTAAGCTCCTCCAACCCGTCCCCATTGACTCTGCCTCTCTGAGTCCTGCGCAGTCGTTTCTGAGTGCGTGTGTTGGTACGTGCTTTGCAGAATTCCTCTCCCCTCAGCTTCTGTACTTTTGTAAATGTTTGTGTGTGTGTGTGTGTGTGTGTGTGTGTGTGTGTGTGTGTGTGTGTGTGTGTGTGTGTGTGTATGTGGCAATTTTGGCCGTCCTCCAGTCCAGTCTGGTACTTACCATCTGTACACACTCCATCAGAGGCAGGCGCACCGATTGGTTCCCGCACAGAGAGACAACACAGGCTGGCGTGTTGGCTGTGGTCTCTAGAAGAGCAAGAACTGCCTCCACACCCATACGACTAGCCTGTGTGAGCAAACACACACACACACACACACACACACACACACACAGATAAAAATGCATCATCATCACAATCACAACCTTGTTCCTTTCTCCTGAACACTAACCCTTTTTTCTTTACCAACACATTTTTCTCCATTTGAAGTTTTTGTTTACTTTTCACTCTGAACCCAAAATTGGAGTAAATTCTCCACCATATCCATCTTTTTCTCTGCTTCTGTTTGTGGTAAACATGAAGAGAGCTGCTGCTCACTGTCTGTGATGCAGTGCATGCCGAGCCATAAATCTGTTAATGTGCTTAGCCTAAAACCTGGAGCCATTTCTCCTCGGACAGACACGGGATTAAACAGGAAAGGCGCTGGACAACTGGACAAACATTTCAAATAAAGAGCTCAAAGAGCAAACACAACAGTTTAAAAAAGTATGCACTTTTATATACTGTATACAATTTCTACTTCAAGTAGGGAGTGCTTGTTACTATCACATCTGAGATTTATTTATTTTAGGCTTATTTTATTTTGTTAATATTATTTGACTATGCTTTGTCTGGCTGTTTTAACCATAAACAAAAGGTTAAAAAAAGAAAAGAAAAAAAAGAAAAATGAAAAGCATCAGATCCTGATATTTGAGAAGCTGCAACCAGCATTGTTTGATATTTTTGTTTGAAAAAAAGACTTAGATTATCAAAACAGTTGCATTGCACAGTTGGTTACTTAAGTGGTGCACATACCAGGATGCGGTCAAAAGCAGATGGGGTCCCTCCCCTCTGCACGTGCCCCAGGATTGTCACTCGTGTGTCGAAACCCAAGCACTTGACAACAAGCTAGGACGGTAAAATGCACAGGTCTTAGCAGTGATCATGGTAACATTTTGTGTTATTCCTCGAATGAGAAATACGACTGTAAATTTAACTACTGGATCCTTAATGTAAAATGATACTGATTCATCTCATGCATATTAGTAACAGAGCTAAAGATAGAATTACATCTGCAATAGAACTGTAGTACATGCAAACATCCATACATACATGAACAGACACATCACACACTGAAACACAAACACAACAGAGACGCTGAAGAGAAGGGGAAACAGCAAAGCACAAGCAAGCCATTCTAATTTTTCAGTCATGTTAGTGGGGAGCTCCCAGCTTGTACTGAATATCCCAGAAGATCCCAGACAGGAAGTGCTGCACTAAACTGAAATGTTCAGGTACTGTAAAAAACCCAAAATGCATTACAAATGAAGAACAGTTAGTGGAAGGGCATAAGATACTGTGATAATCCCAACTGTGAATAAGCCAAAACATATTCAATAAACTATGTGTGAAGCAGTTATAAAGAAAAGACATTTGACTGTACAAATGTCTGGGGTTGTGAGGTTTAGTGATGGTATCTGCTCAGGGTCTTACAGCTGTAGCAGTAGTATCGTGAAAGCTGTCTTACCAAACTAGCGAGTGTGTCTGACAGAGCATTCCAGAAACACAGCAACAGAGTCAAAGCCACACCAGGGCAGCAGTACAGTAGTAGAGGTCATACAGGAGGCAGTCGAAGCTGGAACTTGCCACAGTCTTAACACAAAGCTCTGTACTTACATTCTTAATATAGTCAGTGGTAATGGGCTTGTTGTTATGATCAATCGCCCCTTCGGCTACAATTATGATATTCAGCCTTTTCATCCCTGCTCGGTTCTACAAGGAGGGGTGGTGGAGAAACAACATGACAGAAAAACTCAGACTGTGGCTGTGACGTGGGCTTTCAGAAGCGCGGGGGCCCGACGATGCCAACAGCCTGAAACAGATTCTTTCATAATAAAAGCCTATATATCGTTACAGCATGTGTTTGCACTTTGTAATCAGCAATATCCTGCCAGCCTTATTGGTTGCAATAACTTCATTATCATGGGCTTACCCTTCAGCATCATGATTATCTCATCTGAGGCTTTTTTCCCACTCACATCCTCCTGTTAAATATACTGATTCCAATTAAGATGGCAAGAACTGTATTACAGAATATTCAGGCTAGTTGTTATTGTGGCACAGTGAACTGACTCCCATCAGTCGGGCCTCCATGCTTCTGGCCTCCCCTTTCTTTACACTCAGGTACTCACTTCCTTGACAAAACTAGAGGTTATAGGCTTCCCATGCCTGTCAAGGGCTCCCTCTGCAACTATGATTATGTTCAGCCTCGTGCCCCTGGAACGGGTCTGAATCATAGAATGATATCATGTTTCCAAAGCAGAAAAAAAAAACAATAAGACACTAGACAACTGAGACTAAAGACTTTCCTCCACATCAGTCTTCTCTGACAAAAATAAAGTCAGGATTTACTCCCTGGAGAAAGACACAAAATTAAGAATAACAGCAACTTTGTCAAGTTAAAGAACATTGTACAACACAGGGGCTGATACAATATGGTTAACTGGGTTTACTGTTGGGAGATCAATGAGATCATGTTACCGCAGACAGTTTCTGACACATCTTCTCCTCCCAGCCGTCCTCTGGGGGCATCTCAGGGATCAACACCCAATCTGCCCCGCAAGCCAGGGCGCTCACCAAGGCCAGGTAGCTAGGATAAAGCACACAGACGGACAATGTGTATATAAACAGAGGTGATAATGGTGTCTGTTTGTGCCTTAGGAATTATGTTTTTGGATTTGCTATCAAACGCACTCTTACCCACAGTGTCTGCCCATGACCTCCAACACGAATGTCCTCTGGTGACTGAAAGATAAGAAGAGAAAATTAGACTTTTGTGACATTTATTATTTATTCATTTATTTATTTGAACTTAAACTACATCCTAGAAATGTGAAATAGAAATAATTTCTATTCCTATACCCACAAATGGCTTGTAGGAAACATGCAAACAGTGGAGCTAATGTTTTATTTTAACTTCTTTATTTTCCTCTAGATACTGACGTTCTATTTTCAGTAGTGCATGACCTTAAATTTGTTAAAGATCAAGAGTGATAGTAGTTAAACATTTTCCATGGATGTCCATGTTTATCCTGCCATTTTCATGATATAACAATGTGAGGCTCTGTCACAGTCATTACAAAGTATCAAATTCAGGACTTTACATGGACTTTGCACTGTCCATCTTTTTATTCACAACCAAATATAACAATATCGCTGCTCTACCCGCCCCTCACCTCTGTGCAGTTGTCATAATTGCGTCCACCACCTCGATGATTCTGTGTAAAGCAGAGTCTGTGCCGATTGTCATGTCCGTTCCACAGAAGTCGTTATCGATGGAGCCAACCATCCCCACGATGTGCAGAGCCGAGTACTTCTGAACAGCATCAGCTTCGATCAGACCTGAAAGGATCAGCAGGTTAGGGTTGAAACAACAGCTCCTTTGTGTTTTCCACTGTATTTCTACAATGGTTCAGACAGGTTACTCTCATAATATCACACGATGGGAAGCAATGGGAGCTGCTGAGCTCTGGGAAAAACCTGAACACTTCTTTGTACTGTAAGAAGCATCAAAACCCTTCAGATTATAACTGTGTGTGTGTGTTGAGCAACTGCTTAACTTCATCCAGTTTTTGCATGCTGGAGATTCTGTAGGGAATTTAAAACTTTATCCTTTGGTCACTTTCGTAAATATTTAATCTGACCATACAAATCTCCTGACCTTAGAAAAGGTTGTATCTAGCGACTCCACCTTAACCAAGAATGAGTAAATGTTAATGGGGAGCATTTACTAATCAGAGGTCGCATTTCCATTAGCGTGCATATTGTGCAATTTGAAATTGCGAGCTAAAAAACAAGTAATTTAAAAAAAAACTCAAATGTCGCAAAAAATGTTATCGGTGGAGGTGGTTTTTCAGAATATTCAACAAAGAAACATTTCGCTAAAGTGAAATGGAAACACTGCATTTAAGTCACGACATTCAAAAACATGGCAGATTATTATCTCCCAAAAATCCCTTATACGTGGCTGCTGCCAGATATAAGGGGATTGCCTTTCCATCACTACATGCACTAGATGCCTTGGTCCCAACAATTAGCAAATGCTGGAAATCTGACACCACGTTTAATTGGAATGATATTGTGAGAGGAGAAAACCCAGCTTTATTCGTATAACCTCACTCACTGGAAACAAAGACCAGTCGCAATTGCGTTTTATCATATCATATCACAGAGCTCAACTTAAAGTTTACCAGAGGATGGCACTGAACACACCCTTAATTAAGAAACTAACAAAGAGGAGGTTAATCTTCCCTTGGTACCTTGCTCCACCAGCTCTCCCAGCAGTCCGCTCCACTCCTCCCTGAAGAGGTTGGCTCCCGTCAGGCTCCCATCTCCACCGATCACACACAGGTTGGTGATGCCGCGCTTCACCAGGTTGTGAGCAGCCTTCAGACGTCCCTCGTGAGTGCGAAACTCTTTGCAGCGCGCACTGCCAATAACAGTCCCACCCTGATGGCGAAAAGTGTGAAAATGTCTACGGCTTAAATCCCGTTTTGCTTTGATTTGCTTACTTTTTAGAACTCAGTTCTGTTTACTCGGTTCAGGATAGGGTTCAGTGTCTTGCTTCAGGACACTGACATGAGTAAACACTTCTGATGAACACACACTGGCTGTTCAGATGTTAAGCGATGACTTCTCTAACCACAAAAAGAGCCTTCTTTTTTAGCTGCATGACTTACATGTTCCTCCTTAACTAAGAAAACAATAGTGTTTTTATGTCACAAGGTTTAATTCAAAAACAGAAATCCACGGATGAGGGAGCGACTGTTTCAGGAGTCCCCACAGTAATTTCATTAGATGTGTGGGATGCTGCTCATGATAATTACTCACCACTTGTAGCATGCTGGAGACACTTTCCCATGTGGCTTCCCTTATGTTCTCTCCACCGTCCACCATACCCTGATATCCCTGATGAAAAAAATTTAAAAAAGACAAATAAAAAGAAAATAAATACAAGAGATTACCATACAAACATTCAGGACAAACAGCTGAGGTGATGTGCACTGCAAACTACATCAGAAGGTCATCATCACTTAGTATAAAATAAGTATTTCAACATAATGCAAGACCACACGGTACAATATGTGATTTTGAAACTGTAATAATTTCATATGCATGGCTTAAAGTTTGCCCGTCCTCATACAATGTCCTGCAAAAGAACACCCACAGTACTGTGGTACCTGAGTGGGAGGGGAGTTTTATATGAGGCATCTGCCAAGACCTCAAGTCTGTTATGTAATAACACAGTAAGCAAGCAGGACCACCACATACACAGATGTGCTGGGATCACAGGATGAGCAAACAGTACAGCCCCCGCCAAAGCTCCCCGAACATCTGCTACATCCCTGTGTTCATACATGGAGACTGGGATACTACTGTTGTCACGTCCTGTCACTAAGTGCATTCTTTTAAAAAACATTACTTCGGATATCTCTAACATTAAGTTGCTACTGTCAGCTAATGCTAAAACAAACACAATTGTCATACATCTGCTGTCAAAATCAACAATAAAAGCTATGCTAAAATTTCTCTTCAAATGGCAGATTATGAACAGGTATTACTACAGTATGTAGAGACAATGTGGCTGCAAGTCATGTTTTCTACTTCAGGTCCACTCCTATAGCAAATAAACTATAAACTGTGGCAAAAAAGGCCTTAGTAATGATGATCACAACATATGGGCTCACCTCATGAATGAAATAAACTTTTGCACCCACATATAACCCCATTCGAACCACAGCACGTACAGCAGCATTCATCCCTGAAAGAGAGAGAATAAAAAAAAAATGAAATCTCAACTATAGAACGACCTTTGTGCATTTTGCGATGAGTGCGGTAAACTAAGCCGTAGCTGTATGACAGAAAACCCACAGCTTTCCTGATTTGCACGGCGGTTCCACAGTTTAAGCTGCATGGATATTTATTTCATCGCTGTCACAAAAAGAGCTGCAGCTGTAAATCTTCAATCCCCTCTCTCTCTTAAATGTGTCAGACAGTGTTTTTTGGTGTGTGTAGAAGCACAGGCTGTGTGTTTTTTCTGTCTATCTGTGGCTTGGGCCAAATTTCTTCTTTTTTTTCCTCACAGCACACAGCCATTTTTGTCAGAAGGTCTCCCTGCTCCTCCTACAGCCTCTTAGTCACTCTGTGGTTAGTCCAAGTGAACTCCAGTAAGACGCTGCTCTGTGCCTTGAATGTCAATGTCAGGTTAGCTTAAACCCTGACAGTGAGAATAATAGATAACGCTTTACCCACAACAGTCAGACAGGAACTTGGCCGATTGAGGGAGATATAAACAAGAGAGGACTGAGTTTCCTTTCTTTGTGTAAAGTGGTGAAAGCTACAGCTCTAATGGCAGCCAAGTTGTGCTGTTACTAAGCAACACAAGTTTTTAAGCCATCGGGGCAGCAGGAAAGACAGCTAAAAAAGACAGGGGGCGATCTGAATCAGAGAGTGAAAACTTTAGTGGTAAAGTTAACAGGGAAGTAAAAGTAAAAACCCTCCGGAAATGTGAACCCATTTTTCTCTTCATGGAAAGTTACAGAACCAGCAGAGAGGGACCAGCTATTCACCATACTGTGCGGTGTAACGGCCCATGACCTATTGTTCCATTACATAACTATGTTCAAATGAACAGCCCAGTTTAACTGCATTCAGGGGAGATAGAGGAAACTCAATCTGAATGTGAACAAGACAGAGACAAAATTCGAATGTTATTAAAGACATGTGACTTTCATCTCTCTTGTCGAGGTTTAGACTTTGTCAGAGCAGACAATCACTAAGTTTGGCTGTCTCATTCTGCATGACTGACACTTTCTCGTGCAGAGTGAGTGAAAGGACTAAGCCAAGGCTACACAATGCTCTCTGACACTGACGTTCAGCTCCTGTCATGCATGCCACAGCCTCATCGCTTTGCTCTGGGGCCAACTGTGTGCTTTTTTTCCGATGTGTGTGTACGTGTTCATTTGTGCACCGACAGTGAATCCTCAACCTAAAACCACCCACTACAGATCGATTCATTTCTCCTGAGCCAAGGAAAGCAATAACTTGGCTGCAGTGCAGATTCGTGTTGAATGAAGTGCAAAAAGTAAAGAATGTGAGCTAAAAACAACATCTCCAGGTTGACTTCTCAAAGAAGACATCACACCACATGATTTACTGGTGAAATAATACAAATGAATTGTTGCTGCTTGAGTTTGTACTGTGCATGCTGGCTCACTGTAACATGCTCTCATGACTGAATGGCACAGTTAAACAAGACAGAGCCACCGCCAGTGTTATCAGTTACAGATAGATTACTACCAGGTAGTCAAGTGATGCACACAGTATATGAAGTGATTTTCCACAACTTAACAGACGCTCATCAATAATGCATCAGTAATGGAAAGTCATCTGGTTCTCCTGCTTTTCAGTCTTTGCCATTTTACACAACCCACTTATTTCTGATATATAGCCTGAATGGCTTTTTACTAAGTCTTTTACTATTAAAGAAGCAGAATCATTGTTGTGATTAAACTTGTTTGATTTCATAGCAATAATATAACAGATCAGGAGTTGTTTAAAAGAAGCTTTGTATGTTATAATATAACTTCCTTAGTGCTTGGGTAGGTTACAACAGTTTAAATGCTGCTGTCCTGTCTCCTGGTCAAATACTTTCATTAAAATTTCAGTATTATTAAAATATAAAAATCTTAAATTAATTAAAAAAAAACCTTAGGCATTTTAATGGAAAGATGATTAGCTTCTGTCTTCCGAATAAAAACCAGAGCTCAAGTTTTACAGAAAAAAAGCAATGCCACTTCCTGCCACACAAACCGACTGAGCTGCAGCTGTTCTATAGATAATACATTTCTCTCTGCTGAACTGTACAATGACACTTCACTGCTATTAAAATGCAGTGCTCTGCATCGTGGTAGTAGGCGTGTATAAAGATGAGTCGGTGAGCACATGACCAGGATTTCCCTCCCTGACGCACGGCCGGCTGGTAGAGACGCAGCAGGGATGTATGCAGCTCATCACGTACACAGGATGCAAGCAACCCAGCGTTGGCCCACACTATGACTGCTAACTGTAACCGCAAGACCAATCTCCCTAGAATCAGCATGTTATGAACGCTGGTCATCCTCGTCAGTTTCTGATGAAACCTGCGCGTCGACCGGTGCAAGCCGCAATGCAGTGCCCTGCGCTTCAGTCACTGTCACCGCTTCATCCAACCTAATCAGACTGAGAGTTCATTAAAAGGCAACTTAAGCTCGTCAGCTGTAATGTAGTAACAAATATTGGATTGTAAACAAGAAAACACGATACGGCTCGACCTTGACAGCAGTTCTCTAAGCTGCCGTCACGGTGCGCAGCCACAAAAATGTCACCAAATCTGTGACAGGTATGATGCTGTTAGCGAGTTAGCAGGATGTGTCTTGTTAGCATGCTAACTGGCGGGCTTCCTGAATGAATGGTCATACTGTTACTGTTTAACATATGATTACAAATGCAGGGCTGGCCTCTTGGCGGAGAGTTCAGCATCTCACCGCTGCAGACGTGCGTTTTCGCCCTCTTTGCGGGCCTGTACACATTGACACACGGATGCTGTAGAAGTGTGTCTGGCCAGTTTACCTTGAGCATCCCCTCCGCTCGTCAGCACTGCTATGGCTTTCCCCGCTCCCGACAGGTTCTCAAAGAAGATCTTCTTGCTGTCTGGCTGCGCCATTTTCACAGCGGTTCAGTATCTATCCCAGTCCCGTTCGTTGAAATATTACAACAGACCACCGACAGTATAAAATTGTGCTACAATGATGAAGGGCACCGGTCGTCCGCCCCCTCTATCTATGTATGCCCGCTATGTTCTCCTTCCTCCTGTTCGGCATCTATTCGTCGATTAGCAAAGAGTGACTGTGAGGAGAGCGATTGGCGTTGCCACAGACCAATCAGAGCTCGGTTTATGTGGCTCGGGGTTTAATTTTCAACCAATAGGAGAATTTGAGACGGATATATGGGCGGGGCGTCGTCGGCAGGTTCTCAAAGATGTCGTTGAGGAATAAACCTACCTAAATTTAAGTTTATTTGCAGCTGTTTCCAGCTGCTGCTAAACAATCCTACACGTCTGTCAGATCCAGCTTACTATCGAGATCTACACTAAACTGTACAAACACAGATCTCAGCATCATTAATTTATCAGGTTTTTTTACATCAGTATCCAAACATTATTTTCTGTGAAATTGACAAAAAATGTCCAACAAGGCTGGTGCAAATCAGTTCAGTATTTTTGTGCAGTCCTGCTGACAAACAAACAAACAAACCAACAAACAGACATGGGTGAAAACATAACCTCCTTGGCCTGGGTAATAAACATGTCATAGTTAATGTGCATTAATGATCACAGCCTGCCAAAACCTTCATTACACCACGGACTTAAAATAAAGCAGGAAACAGATTTCCTTAACTTCTATCTTTTTGTTATATCGTTTTATTTTTATCATTATTGTTGTTTTTGCTCATTTTGCATGTTAATTTATACTTTTAATGTTTTTTTTTGTCTGTGTCACCATATGCTCCACAGCTGCTACTTTGCCAAACCCCATATTAGTGTTGTCAATTGTTTTGCACACTTGTGTTCCCCTGTTTTATCAGTGTGCATTATTCTCACATCTGACTTGTTATTTTTTTTAGTATTCTTCAAGTAATCACTGATGCAGTTTTCCCATGAGCATTACAAAACTGTACCTTCTTAATTTGGCTTATCCCAATCCACAGCGGTGGTCTCAAAACAGAGCTTGTCATTCATTTAGTTTCAAGATGATCACTGCCTGAGAGTCTTCACTGAAATAAGCTACTTGGGCTGGCACTATGAGGAGTGTTCTCATTTCACTGAGGCCTAAAACCCTTTGTCTGACTGTGGCATTCATTTTCCTCAAAGCTGAGCTATTCAGAGAGCCAGCTGCTGAGTGTTGTTGGTGCATGAGAACATCTACCATGCTCTTGGGTCTGGTTTTATTGTGGGTCCGATTCTAGAGTAAAATTGTTCAAAATCCCTCTTGACAAACATTTAACATGCAACGTACTCTGACATCAGTATTCAACTTAGATCTTGCCTCACTGTCTCCATCCAGTGGCATCAAGAACGAATTACAAGCACAATGACATTAAATATGGATTTTTGCTGCATTAACAAAATGCAAAATACACTGTACTTAATATGAGTAATTATAGGCAGATAGGGGAATCTATTTTGATACCTTTTTCTTTGCATTAGTTTTCAGCTTCTTCTTAAACACAGTTCCAACATCGACTTGTAAAACACATCCAAAAAGCTTTCTATAACTTTTAAGGTGAAAGTTACTAGCCACATGGTACAGTCATTACCATACACAAGTACAGTCATTAACTTATCAAGGCAAAATCTGTGTCAGGGGTTTTTCCCCAGACTGAATCTCAGAAAAAATTAGCTCTTTAGGTCTGGGGTCGAAGCCTAATTGAAACTCAAGAAATTTCAAAGTCATCCATTTGTTTGTGTAATTCTATCTGTTTGTCTGACTTTACAGTGAGGTCATGAGAAATGTTTGTCCAACATGTCAGAGAGAAGTCCTAATTAGACAGAGGACCAACCACAATGAAATATATTTGGCAGCATTACTCATTCAGATCTAGAAGTCACTGATTTCCTCACAGAAACACAGGGAAGTGTTTGGAGCATGATGAGTAAGGGGATCACGAGCTGAGCTAAAAAGACTTAAAGTATAAATAATTTGCTATTTAGTGAATTGAACTTAAATGACATCTAGTCTATTAGCATTCAGGTCAATTTCACTCAAACAAATTACTTTTTCCTTTAAAGTCAACTTGCCTGGTTAAGAGTAGCTAGGTTTCAATCCAAATGTAGCACAAATTCTAACCATACTTTGAGAAAATCTGCATAAGAAAATGAAAATGAATGCATACATATGCATCCACTATTGTTACACAAATGTTGGAATTTGGTTTGTTGAGATGAACAGCTGGTATTAAACAGTGCTGAAGAAGAAGACACAGCGAAATCAGTCAAACCTCATACAATGGGAAACCAACATGAAATCTGTCTAAAAAACATGAAATAAGTGTGTTCCATGGCATTTATTTGGATTTAGAAGCTTTCGAACCTAAACTAAGCGTTATTTCTATTTGGTATGATCTTTGCTTAATCACCATATATGTTTGTGTCAGAAATAACATCTGTGCATTGTTATATTTAAAATCTGCTGATGAAAATGTAACATATGCGTAAAAATGTCCACATCACGAATGATAGGCTCCCCATTATCTGCAGATGCTGCTGCATTTTCACTTGTTCCTCTTTTTTTTTATCTCCTGCTTGTGGGAAAGGGAATTTCTTCCGTTACATCGGCAAGCCTCCTTCCCCTCTGGCATTTACAGCAATCATACGGTTTCCCTCCACGGGGCTGCTGAGAAGACGGCTTTGCTGGAAAGTGCAGAAATGAAGCTGCCAGCTGGAAACTCGAGTACAGCCTCTTGATTTGGTATTTTATCTGTGCTCATCATTTTCTTTTCTTTTCTTTTTTTTTTTTTGCCTTCAGCTTTTTGCTTCACATAACATGAAAGCTCTGTATCTGTCAAATTATGTCATCTGCTACAGTACAGTGTGTCATCTCGGTGCAGAGACAAAGCAATATTCAGATGACAGAGAAATTTCAGTTCATGTGATAAATGAATGTAACATAAACACACAGCAAATGTACAACATTTTAATTTTTATTCATGCAGAAACAACACATTCCATGCACAATTACATGATTATAACCTAGTGTAAGTATCAATTATAGCGTTAAGTGACAGAATTTCTGAGCTTGCGATTAACCACTCAGAAAAACACCAGTATTATCTCCTATGTACCAAGGTGTAAACAGCCCTGAGAGAGCTCTACCGGCTGGCGAGCTGCCATCAGTGTTGTTTTCTCACAGTACCTGTACAGTAAACACACCGGTGTATTTAAAGAGCTGGCTCACACAGGAAACTGAGTCTTTGTCTCTGTCTGTTACACTCTGTTAGCTTATTCCTGGAGGCCTGTAATGGGGATGATACTGAATGTGAAGAGAATGGTTGAATAAGTCGCACTGAAAAGAAATGAATGTGTTCGTATCTCGGCCTGGTGTTGGCGAGATTTAGTAGTGTGCTGAGAGACTAATGTGACATATGAGTTGAAACGCTGTGATAGCCTGCAGGTAAAGTTCCCCGGGCATGAGCCTCTGTGAAAAGAATCCTTTCATATACAGTATGTCTATCTATATACTTTAAACTGTTACATCTCCATGTAGCTGCTTCTAGTGGTAAATCTCCTTTATTGTTGCTAAGCAGCCAAAGTGTTTGTCCTTGGGGTATTAGCAGGTGAAATTTGTTCATCTGTGGTTTACACTCTTTGCTTTTTCTTTTCAGCTATTTCACCATTTCTTTTCTTTTTTTATATTTGGTGAAACAAAACAAAGGCAAAGAAAGTGACATAACATAACATAACATAGCATAGCATAGCATAACATAGCATAACATAGCATAGCATAGCATAGCATGACATGACATGACATGACATGACATGACATGACATGACATGAGGAGTTAGGACCATTCAGTGGGGGAAGCACGCACTACTGGGGAGGTGGAAGTTAGCTTTCCAGTGACATAGGTGGGAGATGGGACATATTTGTTTTGGTTTTGAATTGTTTTCCAGAAATACACCATCATAGCCACCATTTCTAACACTAACTACACAGTACAGGTGTTTCCACAGGTTTTCCTATATAAAGAACTTGTAAAACAGCATTTCTTCACGTGTGCCAGTTGAATCTTTATTTCCTACCAGACACTTTGTATTTGTGACGGCAAATGGAAAAGTTTTCAGTGAATTGCAGACGCAGATAGAATCATTATTATGCCGCATGAGTGTGAGTGTGGAGCTAGAGAGAATGAAATGTGTGCTGAACATGAAAATATCACAGTTCATCATTTTAAAGGGAACTCTTTTTCAGTGTAAAATGATGTTAAAAAGTATTTACACAAATGTGTGTTGTCAGGCGTGTGGCACCTCATTATGAATTCAGAATTTATAGGTCTAGGCCGATATGAGTTTCTGGATAAACTCATTTCTTAAAGCTGTTATTCTGGGGTGATGATCATTATTTAAAGCAATATTTTTGACATTTAGGGAAATACACTTATTTGCTCTCTTGCTGAGAGTTAGCTAAGAGGATTGATACCACTATGGTGGCCCTGAATGCTCAACTCACTGCAACTGCAAAACACATGCAAATAGATAAGACACAAACAACTTCAGAAAACGTCTTCATCAATTTGACAACACATGCGACGCAAAAAAACACAACACATGCAATTACACAAACACGCTGCAAATTCAGTCCTTAAACACAGCAGAAGTGTTTCCAGCGGACACAAGTGCCATGAAGGCATAATCCTCACTGCAGTGGCCCGGGTTCGAATCCAACCCATGGCTCTTTGCTCCATATCGTCCTCTCTCTCTCTAACTGACTTTCCTGTCGCTCTCTCACTGTCACTGTCAGAATTAAGGCAAAAAATTACTTTGTTAAAAAGTGATGAACCTGGCTGTGATGCATTTGTTATTCAATGCTTTTAACTTTAAAAGTCACAATTGGGTATTGAACAACAAGACCCAACCAGGTTCATCACTTTTTAGTGTCCCCTGTGTTGTGTTAAGTATTTGCAGAGCATGTGTTGTCAAATTGATGTTTTCTGAATTTTGCAGCGGGTTTGTGTCTTTGCAGTGCGTTGAGCTCTCAGGGCCACCGTATACCACCCTCACATGCACACTAAATGTGTAGCTGGGGAT